AGCCGACACAAGGAGCTATTGGAGCTGAAGAAGACGATGGAGGGGATCCAGGAGCTGTTTCTGGATGTGGCTGTTCTCACAGAGGAGTAGGGCCAGCCCTTGAAGCAGCCAGAAAGATGTCCAATATACTGAACTGGCCACTCAGAACGCCATGGTCCATGGATGAAGCCATTACGTCAGATAAAAATAACCCCTTCAAGAAGCTTTCCATGATGATCTATGTGGGAGAAGCTGCACTACAAGATAAATGGACAACCTTTTAAGAATTTTTTCACTCATCACTGGTTTTGATATTTAAAAAAGGTGCATTTAGTAGTGGTTCTGGAGCTTTTGATCATTTTAAAATATTGTCTCCATGGTGAGGATAAATGTCAAAACCCTGACAGTTTATTCAACATAATATGGCTCAAATCAGTAAGATCAGGCATAAAGCTACATAATCTGGGGCTTTCAGTCAACAAAGATTTTGTCAACTGTTGTTTCCAAGGTCAAGAATGAACTTTGAATCTTAAAGCCAAACATCTACAGTTCCAGTGCTGATGAAGGCCAACATCGAAAACCAGTGGTGGAATATAGCAGTATATTCACTTTGTACTTTTTTTCAAATTGAAGGTTCTTGGACTACTTGAGTTTTTCTTTTCATGCTACTTGATACTTCTCCTCCACTGCAATTCAGAGGGAAATATTGTACTTTTTTTTACTCCACTACACTATTATCTCACAGCTTAAGTTAGTAGTTACTTTATAGTTTAAGATTTTACATAGAAAACATGATGAACTTGAAAATATTTTATGTTGTTATATATTAAACTACACAAAAACTTATTTTTATGTTTTAAGTGCATTTTGCTGACATTACTTACAAATTTGTGCTTGATGTTACTTGTAATGGAGTATTTTCAGTCTGGTATTGTTACTTTTACCTAAGTAAAGGATCTGAACACTACCCCACTGTCAAAAGCTCCAGAACAGTTACTAAATGGACTTCACTGACTACTTAGTCAACTGTTGTTTTCAACATCAAGATTGAATCTGAAATTGTTGTCTTTGAGGACAATACGATCCAATGCTTGTTATTGCTTTATGTTGAACACAAAAAGTTTGGTAATGCTGAAAGTTTTTTCTAACTTTGTGTCTCTCATGTTTTATTCTGACAATAAATTGGTCAACCCCTGCAAATCTAAAAAGGTATTTAAGATCCTTATTAACGTTTTGTGCGCAAAATACCAAGTGCTCAAAGACACCTGCGCGCTTTGAGATTCAGTAAGAATTTGAGTGGGATGGGTAGGTTCCTTCCTGTGGACTCACCAGAGAAGCGGTGAAGTGTGTGAAATTTGGGCTGAGGAAGGCGTGATCTTCCGCGTTAGTACCTGCTGCAGGCTGCATCAGTTGAGCGAAGAGTGTGACTGCGAGACCTCCTCAAAACTGAGACACTGAGTTGACTCATGTAGCTACATGTTGTAATTTGGTGATAACGGAGAGAGAAAGAGGAAATTAGTTTTTCCGTGGTCGCCTCTTCTGCTTTAGCGAGTTTAATAGTGTAGGACCGGCCGGAGGAGAACACAATAAGGTATGTGTATACTGTATTGTATAATGTTTTGAAGGTATGTGGACTAATTAAATACGATTAAGTGATTCATGGAGTCATAACTCCCCACAGACCTACAGGGAATCTGTAACAGCTTGTTATTGTTTATTATTTTCACTTGTCATGGCCAATGATACTTTAAGGTGTGTTATTGTGCAACGTTGTTTTTTTTAACTTAACTGGCCTACATCACACTAAAGCTGTGTAACTGCCTTCCTTCGATAGGAAAAAAAAACTGAGTCTTAACTCAGCGCCCTATAATTAATTGCTATCTGCGATGAAAACGTCACCGTTGAGGAAGTAACCTATCAGTTTCCTCTTGAGGGGTTTAAACCGATGCTGATCTGTCTTCAGAAAGTACATCTAAACTGCTAATCTAATCTACTGATGACTCAAAAGGGAAGTCCTAAACGTGCTTTTAAAAATAATTGTATTAATTGAAAGGTTATAGAGCCTACAGAAAAGAACTCAATCCTCTGAAAAAACCACCCCCCCCTCTCCATCTGGCACAAAACCCAATTTGAAATGTAAAATAATAAACCATATAAAAAGAAGGGGGCTGGATTTGTTCAATGTAATATGATAAAAACCAGTGGTGGACGAAGTATTCAGGTATTTTACTTGAGTAAAAGTTGGCTACTCCATTACAAGTAAAGGTCCTGCATTTCCTGTAGCCTATTTACTGCAGGTCCTGTATTATCAGCAAAAGTAGCCTATAAAAAGTAAAGCACTAAATCTGCAGAAAAATGGAGCCTGTGACTGATATAATATAAGTTATAGTCTGAAGTTATGTCCAACAACAATGGGATCTTGGGATCAAATAACATAATCATGATCCCATAGGCACCAGGAACTGAGCAAAAATATGCAAGTAAACTAACAGGTTCTGAGGGACACCTTTTTCCAAGCAGGGGCCAACAGTCTCAGACTTTGAAAACACCTGGTCAAATGGCTCCAAACCTGGGGGTCAGGCCCCTCAGATGGGTCACAAAATAATTGTGAGGAGCCATGTGATAAGTTAGGAAAGAAGAACAAAGAAAGTTCTGCTACACAAATGTGTATACATTTTTTGGACATTTCCAAAATGTGCTGTTTTATAGAGGAGTTTTGTGCTGGACTATTTTTAAGTCTGGGCCAGTAACTTCCTGGATTCTCCACTGATTGCCTGGCAGCTACTCAGACCCACCAATAGTCTGGCAAATAACACCCGGTAAAACGACAACTTGTTGTTTTTAATCTTTGAGTTTAAACAAAAAAGACGTGTGGTAGGAGGATTTTGTCACGTTTGGACAGAACCAGGCTAGCTGTTTCCCCTAGTTTCCAGTCTTTGTGCTAAGCTAAGCTAACCAGCTGCCAACAGATATAACAGACAGATATGTGAGTGGTATTAATCTTGACATCTAACTCTCCATTAGAAAGTGAATAAGCGTATTTCCCAAAATGTCTAACTATTGCATTTAAAAAGGTGAGTAAAGGTTCCTGACTCCTCTTGCAGGTGAGATGAGGGACAGACTGTGTGAGCTGCACACCTCCAAGCCTGCAGAGGAGGAGTGCAGACCTGAGGAGAACCACAGCCACACCACTGATGATGAGGGGCATCTGGAGCAGCAAGCCATCGTGTTTGAGGGGGAGGACGTGATGGACAGCCTCTTCAAAGACACCCAGGCAATAAGGAAGGAGCTGCAGCTGCTCAAACTGGATGTGAAGCGTCTCGGGAAACAGAACACCAGGTTCCTCACATCTGTCAGAAGGATCAGCAGCATCAAACGTGACTCCAATGCACTCGGGCGGGACATTAAGGCCAAAGGGGAGGCCATTTATGCACGGGTGGAGAAGCTGGGGAAGCTGAGCAAAGAGATGGAGGAGGAGCACGGGCCTACATCAGCTGTTGCTCGCATGGTGCGTTCACAGTATGTTTCTCTATCCAACGCCTTCCACGAAGCCATGTCTGAGTACAACGAGGCTGAGATGGTCCAGAAGGAGAACTGCAAGACCCGCATCCAGAGGCAAGCGGAGATCATGGGCAAGGAAGTGAGCAGGGAGCAGATTGACGAGATGATCGAGACGGGCAAATGGAACGTCTTCTCAGATAATCTCCTCCTGGAGGGTAGGACTGCCAGATCTGCTCTCAATGAGATCGAGAACCGGCACAAGGAGTTGCTGGAGCTTGAGGGCCGCATCAGGGACATTCAAGAGCTCTTCTCCCAGATGGCCCTGCTGGTGGAGGAGCAGGGCTGCATGCTGGACAACATAGAGGCGAATGTATGTGCCACTCAGGACTATGTTGTCAAGGCCACAGTTCAGATCAAGAAGGCTGTGAAATACAAAAAAAACAATCCATGCAAGAAACTCTTTTGTTGTTGCTTCCCTTGCTGCAAATGAGACAGCATCAGTGTTATTTTTAAATCGAGATTAGACACAAATCAGCTTCCAATGCAAAGATGCCTGTAATATTATGCTTCAGTTTGTGTATTTATTTAGCTCAAACGAATCAGGGTTTTTAAACAGTAGTACAATCTAGGTCTGAGGAAAGGCCTCCATTTCAAACCACACGTCCATATGCAAATGTACATAGCGAGATTAGGGTGTTGCATTTCCTGATTGCTACTGAGAACAGCTTTGCATGATTACTGTAAAGCGATCTAAGCTATAATTTAATGCACAAGTCTCAGGTTTAAACTTTGTAATGTTGTATGAGATATTTAAGTAATGTAAATAAATGCCTTAAGAGTGGCTTTCTAATATCTTGACTCATTTTCAAAGCCTGAACGTAGCTACTCTGGAAAGTTGAAATTTTAAGTAGGTCTAGGCCTATTTATTATTACAGCCATTGCTTAACACATCTTAAGAAACACACTGAACACAACACGGCATTTGACTCTGGTTAGCGATTGCACAACCCCCATTTTGTATGGCTTGGTATCACCAACTATTGCCTGTGGCTTTGTGTTTCTTAAGACTTGTTGCTTCATAGGAAAGAAATCTCTCTTTGTATTTACTCCACTTTTACACAGATAAAATGGAATTATTTTCAGTCCCATGTTTTCCTGTAGCCTCACTGATTCAATTGCATGCAACCAAAGTCAAATCAGGTTTACATCATAGGGCAGGTCAGGGTGCTTCCTGTTTGCACAGTAGGCCTATCTCTTGAGTATTATAATAGTAAAATTTAAAAAGACCTTTATTCTCCTGTAAGTATGGCAGTCCATCACCCACTTGGGCATTCCCAGTTATCACCTGAAGCTATGATAACTCTTCATACTGTACATGAGAGACACCGGTGGGTGTTTGTTGAATAGCTCTCCTCTGTTCTGTGATGACACAGGTTTCAGTGCTGTGATGATTGCATTTCCTCAGCAGTGTTGCGCGGGTTGTGGTGGGCTTTTACTGGCCGCATGACGCACTATGGCTCAGGTAGACCTGTTGTACTACCGTTGTCTTCGAATGCAGCGCCGTCTGGCAGTGTGTACGCACCAGGATGGCCGAGTGGTTAAGGCGTTGGACTTAAGATCCAATGGACATATGTCCTCGTGGGTTCGAACCCCACTCCTGGTAAACAGCGGAAATTTTAATCTGAATACGACTCGTGTTAAGTAGGCCCATAGGGGGGAACTCCATATATAGTCTACCTACATTAGATGCAAACGCAATTCCTTCATAAAGGTGCGATGTTCAGACTTGTGACCCTAGAAGTGTTGGCTAATTGTAGCTAGACCGGTATGATCATTGTTTAAGCTAATTGAGGCAACACAGCAGAAACCGAAAGGTGAAATACCCTGACTTAGCTGACGCAGTAAAATGTTTGTTTACATCAGCTGTGATGGTCTAAACATGAGGAAAAGTGGCCTCTTCTTTCAATTTGAATGATTGGAAACATTTTGTCTCTGTCAATTAGGCTACACTCGAATAGCCTATAGCCTAGGTCTACCTGTAAGTTATGCTTAAAAAAACTGGTTTGGCCTTTGTCCTATTAACAGTGCACTGTACATACAGTCTACATTACAACGACACAAATAGTCTGATTCATCACAGGGAACATTTCTGCCTGGACAGAAACCTTCTCTGAGGTTAAACTGTTTGGATCTGGCGCCACCTGGCTGTATAATATCCGGTGAATATGTTGCCACCAAACTTGGAACTGGAACTTTTCTCTCACTGTAGTAAAGCAGTGGATCTGTATGTAGAACCCGTTCTGAATACTGTACACTTTTAGTTTTAGGGAATCTGAGTATACACACTGAATTTAATTTCCTATTAAAAGGGACTGTCTCAACCTTTATTTTGCAAGTACTTAGATTTGATTATGTATCTGGGAGGTCTTGCTGAATGCTTGACAACTTTACAGACATCAACAGGATTTAATCAGTTTTGTTGCCATACAGCTTTCTTTCTTCTTTTGACATGTTGACCATTCGCCTGAAGGCCCAGTAGGGTTTCATCATTGCCCTTTTTCATTCAATCATTGAATTTCTTATCCCGTGCCTGATTTAAATATGGGCTTGGATGTGCACACAACTACCTTACAATTTCTACTTAACCAGAAAGCGCTCTGTTAACACTGTCAGATGTAAACCTAGAATTGAGTTAAAGTGTGAAGCAGGTAATCTATGTTGCTCAGGAACAGTGTAACATTTGGGCCTTGAAGGCACTTAATTGAAAACTGCTGCAATGAAAGGACACAAAAATAAATAAACCAACCAATATTTAAAAACTGAGAGCCTCTTTATTAAAATGCTTCAAAAGTCAAACAAATGAAGCTGGCATAATGTGGTGAAAAATACACTTCAGCTGTAGTGAAAACAAAACTTAAAATGCTGAATGAAAGTGTTGATAAACTCCAGGTGCCTGCAAAGACTGTATTACTAAAAACACAAGACGTGTGCTGCCGATTAAATACATTTGTCTTATTGTTGTATGAACCTCATTTCATTTTCAGGTTATGCACTCCATCCATTAAACCTGAAGAACCTGGCTGAAGTTCATTACCATACAAGTATTTAAAAAATGTAACAGTTAATATAAAAACGTACTAAATTGATGCACTGTGCCTGAGATATAAACTATAAATGCAGCTGGACTGACAGACACATCACCAAATCACATTATTTCAAACTGACATGCAAAACATGAGGGAGTAAAATTCCCGCTACTTGAGCAAAGACAAACCCCTCAGTATTATGATTAAAATGTTTACAGTACATGCCTTCATGTGCAAATCAATAATTCAAATATAAATCTAAACATTACAGAGGCAGGTTATTTTTCTTTCCAAATAAAAGTACCAGTAAAAAAAACAAAAAACATAAGAAATAAACCAGACATGTATTGGGACTTCTTACAGTAAGAAGACATCTTAGTTCTGACATTGCTTGGGCTTTACCTCAAACTTAAAATAATATATAAAAAACAACAAAAAAAACCCAACACATTTTCTCAAAAGGAATATCCACTTTTTCTTACCAGTAATAAGTCACTTTTCTGTGACATTTTCAACCAATCTGCATGCCACATTGCAAAAAATTTGAAGCCATTTTTCTTAGACCTTATATCTTAATCCAAACTAAAAGTGTAATTAAAAAAGGTGTTCAACAAGTCTGATCACTCCAAAGAACATTCAGCCTATTTCAGTTATAGCTCAATGGATGACAAACATGTAATTTGTTAGTCCCGCACTGCAACACACACGGTTATGTTACTATAATACTGAGTGGTACACCGGTCAGTCCTAAGACCCCACAATAATCAAGTAGCTGACAAGTCGTTGTGTCATTCTCTGCAATTATGTTGACTTCACACAATCTACTGTGAGACAAAGCTTCATGCTACGACCCTGAGAAGCCAACAACATTCGAACACAGTGGACATGTAGTGCCAAAAACACACAACCAAGATAAATAATGAATATGAACATAGTTAGGACCGCTCATTACTGGAGGGAGTGTGCTTGTTCTATTCAACACCTGGCCTGCAGGATTTTATGAGGTCTGACACTGAGGAAAGGAACCCAAGCTTTCTGCTCACCAACCACAGTCACTGATGGACTCTTATAATCACTAAATACATTCATCATTTTACTTAGTACACTCAGATTTTTTGTATAAAACAAACTACAAACGTGCTGGTTACTTGTAAAAAAAAAAAAAAGAAATACAGCTGGTAGAACAGACAAACCACAAACCAACCATAGCTAAAAATGTTTTGCCGTTTGGCTGGTGTATAGTGTTACTTAATCTCTCACCTGACTAACATGCCAGCCCATTAGTCAGAGGCCAGATGAGAAAAAAGTAAGATGGACCATCTTTGTCACTGCTTTAATGTGCCAAACCCCAAAGCACACTACATTTAAAACACCAAAAATTATGATGGTGACTCGTGTATGCTGGTGAAGAAAAACCACCATCCACAATGAATCCAGAATGACCCTTCTGTAAAATGGCATACATTGTGCACAGCTACCACAGATGTTTGGTCAGTCTTAACATGTAGAATTAAGGCCATGATATCTATGAGATCTAAGTATCAGGATAAGATATAAAACCATGCAAGATACCAGTAAACTCTTCCAGCTAGAAACAGTCGATCTCACTGAGATGTTCTGAACAACCTCCAAAAATCAAGTGTATCACAAGTAAAGGCTCTAGTCTTACCTCCACTGTAGCATAGTACTGACGTTTTGATATAAAAATAAAAAATATCTACATCTGATTATTTACACAATGTCAGAAGAGACAAGACAACTTCAGTACACTGGTATTAAGAAATCCATCAGAGGGAAAGATACAATGCTAACAATTTTATTGGCTTGTTTACAGTCCTGAACTGTGACTGCAGTATGTCAGCCTCCACTAAAGTATAAATCAGCCCACTATTGTTTTTATCTTATCTATGGGAGTAAAGGAAAGAACAACCAACTGTTTATAATGTTCAACCAGGAGTTTTCTATCTTTCTGAGGCTGGAAGAGACAAATGTCTGTAAACACTGGAGGAAAATACATGTGTATTTAAGTTCTAATGGTCTCAGAAATGTCCAAAAGATGACATCTTTTTAAAAAATCACTTATGCTACTGGTTTGAGAACTGAACGTAAGCACCTTCCCTCTTTCGTGAGCTCTCTGGTGAAACACATGCATGGCAGAGGGATCGCCTCTTCCCGACGAGAAATCTTATTGAACTTGCACTTCTTGAGGTGGTCTGCCATGCTGGCGATGTTGGCAAACTTCCACTCGTTCACTGTACCAAAAGCTGTGCTGAATCGCCATACCTGTATGACAAACAATAGAGAATTGTTCTATTACTTCTCATGCTGTGAGAGAGTACTTTTGTACCATGGTTCCACGGACAAAACAAATGAAACAGGTTATCAAATGTGTTTTTTTTTTAAATAGCTAAAAAATGACTAACCTTGTCTGTGATCTGCCATGAAGGAGACCCATCAGCACGCCGTGTCTTCTCCCACAGCAGGACGACCATGCCACGCATCTGGAGCAGACTTGCACACACATCCCTCATGGTCCGGGACACTCTGGACAGTTGGCACAAGCTAAAGCTGTCCAGGAAGCTTGCTACATGTTGCAACACCTCAAATGGAAGACTGCTGAACTGATCGCACTGAGAGCCAAAGTGGCAGATGTTTCTTGGAAGGTTGTCCCCAGTATTTAAGGGCAAACCAGGCTGAACCCCAAATGAGCCAAGGTGCCTGTCATGGATGATTCTGAAGCCCTGTACAGATGGACAGAATCGTCTTTGGGAGTAGGTGCAGCCATAGTAGGCTAAGGGGCACCGTTGCTCCATCCAACCGTTAAGTCCAGCGTGAATATCCCCGTGAACGTTTTTGAAATGAGAGGAGAACTCGTCCCGCCGGAACAGTTGCCCACACACAAATGTGAACATGGAACGCTGCTTCGTTTGGTATCGGGCCACACATTCAAGCACCAGGTCCAGCCTGAGTGTGTGGAAGGGGCTTGGATTGGAAAGCTGTGGGCTGGCGTGATCGCAGGCTGAGGCTGAAGCGATATCACCCACCATGGTATTGGTTGCAAGAATGGCTGAAGGGAAGGAGAATGTTTGAGTACCAAAGTCAATGTGGTAGCCATCGACAAACCTGCTGTCTGAGATTCCTCTGCCTCCTGGAGAGTCGCCGAGGCAAAAGAGCAAAGCTGCCGTGATGAGATCAATGCCGTGGAGTCCCATGGGGTCATCTGCTACTTCCAGGTCAGATGTGTCTACTGCCTTGTCCTCCATCTTTGCCCGAAATAAGTATGGGTCTGATAGCAGAGCCCGGCGTCCATTAAATGTAAACATACTTATTCCTCTAAGCACTTCTACATTTTGTAGTTTACGCTCCAAACACCTATACCTGAGTTCAGTAGGTAAGTGTTGTAAGAAGTTATTTCTCACGTGATCAGACAGCAGGAATGGCATCGGAGGTGAAAGGGGTGCTTGTTGAGGCACAGGAGGTTCCAGTGCTAAAACAGGCACGTAATTCTGAGGCATCTCTGGCCAGACAAGGTTGGAATCATTTATTGGCTCCTCGATATTCTCTTCCTTCTCTTCAAAAAACAACTCTACAAAATCATTTTCTTTTGCCCAGCCAATCCCATCTTCTCCATCTGTCCCCACTGCACAATCGACTCCACCTACTGCTCCAAGCTCACACTCAGTATCAGAGTCACTCTCTTGCATCTCTACATTCTTCCCACCCTCAGCGACAAAAACATTATGACTATCACCATTTTCTCCATTGTGGAGTGCTCCATTCTTGTCTGTTTTTTCCCCATTTAAATTTCCAACAATTACACCAATATCTGTGGAATTAGAGAGGATGTCCAAGGCTGCTGCTAAACTTCGGCTCGTCTCCATTGAGGCTCTATACAACCCATTATAGGGTTCCTCTTCCATTTCCACGGTTCCATTACCTAACACTGTCTCTGGCAGACTTGGTGCTGTGGCCATTTTGTCACTTTCACCTGCTTCCTTATCTCCATTCTTTGACACAGTTGTCGTGACCTTCAGGGACTCTAACAACATCCTTTGATCCTGAAGGGCCAAGGCCATGTCTAGCTGCTCCACCTCATCAACATCTTTACTCAAGTTTTCATAGGACTTGCGATCAGAGTAGCTCACAGGCCAGCGATTCCACTCCATCGTACAACATACTATACTTGCTGGGCACGTCTCAAGGTGATGTGCCATCTTGATCCTTGGAATATTGAACGGGCAGCCAAATCCGCTGTTAAGGCACGGCTGCCGTTCATATGGACACAGTAGATGGTGTTCCTCTAGTTTGCATGAATGAAAAACTGCCCCACAGACAAGAGGACAGCCGATGAGGTCGCAGCAAACACCAGTCTCTGGTCTGACCATGCATCTTCTGTTAATGCATTTAAGGCAGTGGGAGTGCAGGTTCTCCATTTTAACTGTATTGCTCCTTGCCCAACTGGTTCTGGTAGGGAAATGGGGTGATGTCTTCCACCCTGAGACAAAGTCAGCAAAAATATACTTATTCCACAAGTCTTAAAAAACCAAATACATGCCACATAACAACAATGTTTTTAGGTAAGCACATGGGGCAATCAGCTGGAACAGAGCATACTGTGTTACATTATCCCATGGACATTAATCCAACCCTCCAGCATAACACACGTGAGGTCCCATGCCTTCAAACTATTCTGTAACTTAGTCTCACATATGTTCTCTCTGCATGTTTACTAAATCTTTAGGCTGTTCAGTAATATTTCACAACGCCCTTCTTAGGTTTCATGGTGAACCCGGTTCTAACAGGACTTCGGGGCAACCTGATCCCTCGGCATCAGGCTCTGAGAACTGCCCTTCATTCATGGTCTTTGGTGACATCTCAGAATTTCAACATCTTTCGCAAAATATTTGCTTGCAAGCCGCAAAAGACCCACGAGGTAAATACCTCTGAGTCATTAGCCTTGGGCTTATTTGGTAGTGCTAACGTTATTTGTGTAAAGGGATTTGTAGGATAATGAATGCTGGCCTAAAGGACACCAAACAATAATTTAAAGACCCACAACAATGCTTCACACAGGAGAGCTATTGTTGAGTCTTTGCAGCCATTGCCGGCAACAGCTAACGTTAGCTAAATTAGCAAACAGCTAAAAACACAAACACAATAACAGCCGGTTCTAACTTAGTTGATAGTTATACCAAATGATCATTTTAGGACTAATACTATCGCCGTAGTCTATTTAACTATAATACGTTGTTTTCGTGATAACTGCACAAGTGAAATTGTTAATTGATAAGTCACAAAACTTTTAAATTAAACAAAAGAACATCAACAACATGGCCAGCCTGTTAGCATTAGCAGCTAACGCTACAGTTCGTTAGCATAGTAAGTTAGCTGGCTGTTAATGTTAGCTTCTAGAAACTGCTTACCCAAGTTACGGGGTTCTCCAACTGTATTTTATCAGTATTTCTTTACTTATTTCAGCCCCGTCAACATCAGCAACGTGGAAACTACAAGCTACAGAGGAATCTCACAGTATTAAATGTGTCCAAATCTTGTTATGATATAGACTGGCTGCTGGTGGTTCTCCGGCTGAGTCCTTCACTGCTCTGAGTCTGTCGGCGTTTGTGTTGATCCTGGAGTGGGACGCCGCAGTGGACGTCATCGCGTAAATGACCCAGTCATATTTAGGTTTATGGAGCAGACCTATGAGAGGGCACTGAAATAGACAGACTGGGGGAAAACCCTGAGGACAGTTTTACATGTAATCTGTCATGAAATGTTTATGCCGTTGTTTGTGGATTGTAATAGGTATACATGCTCTTACCAGGCTATTCAAATGACCTTACAAATGTACAAAGGATAAAATAGTGGTGGATGAAGTATTTTTCTTTATATCAATCTCATTAAAAGTCCCAAACTAACACTTAACTGATCCTACCAACTTGCCTGTGTTGCCAAAACCTGATACAGCATATTCATTTGTGCCACAGACCTCTGTTATTAACCAAAAAGTATTAAAACACACCGGTGAGCCACACTGTTGCACTGGGTGACATGTCCTTTCTTACCATGACCATGGGCAGTGTAGCTTATTTTGTGTCAGTCCCACCTACCCAGTCCTGATGCTGTAAATATTCAGTAAAGGCGTAAATAGTCCCCCCAAAAATCCCTATTTACTCCTGTTTGAGTAACATTTGCTAAAAACTACAGTGCCTAAGTGTTAGTGTTTTAAAAAAGAAACTAAATATCTGTGACCTGTTTTTAAAGTTTTATATCTTAACTTAGAGCCATTGGGGGTTGGGGCTGAGTGCCACAGACAGGGTAGGGAAATCGGATAGTTTTGAGAGACAGACTAACACACTGGTGGTTTTTGTCTTTTAATGGGACTTCTTGACAATGTCAAAAATACAGAATTATATTTTAAGTAAAGTTTTAATAAAACATCATACTCCTGCATCACAAATTTTTCTAGTTTTGGCAGAAAATATGATTTTTACTATCAGTTAATATCACTCACTCATTAACAATGGTCCCTGACAAAATCTATTATTATATTTTTAGATAATTATTACAGCAGCATTTTAATGCTGTAGCTGGTCAAGGTGGAGCTAATTTAAACAATTTTATACTGTTGGGTAGTATAGTGCAAGTACCTCAAAATGGTACTTAAATTCAGCACTTGAGTAAATGTACTTTTTGCCACTGTTAAAACAATGAGAGGGACAACACTTAAGGGAGAAATTTATTAAGTTGATTTCTTACAATTCAAGAAATCCATTCTATGAAGAGAAACATATGCAAGACTTTAATTATTATCATGAAACACACCTGTACGTGTGTTTGTACACCTTTATTTTGTATGTATGTCCATTTCTTTGCTGGAAAAGTTCTCCGACCCCCTGATTCATGAGGCCACCTCTGAGATGTGGTGAATGTTGGACAGGGTGAGCTGTGCCTCCCGCGCAGGGTAGAAACGTCTGGAGCGAAGCCACAGCCTCCCAAACACTCCTGTGATCAGCAGCAAGACAACCAGCAGCCCTCCAAGGACAAAGGTCTCCACAGAAGGGACTCTGCCTGCATCTACAGACAAAAGGACACAGGTGGAAGTCCACTTTGCACCTAAATTGTACACTTATCTAGAATCTCTAAGCTTTGAAGGGTTAAAAACTAAAGCTCTTAGATCCATATGAGTTACAGAGGTTATATAAAATGTGAATACATACTCAGATTGGGCTTTTCACTATTGTTTAGTAGTCGTCTGATTGGTCCATAAGACACTGTATGGGACAAAGGGATGTCTCTTCTTATTCTCATTAATCCCTCTTCACTGGAACAGTTCTGTTTGGCAAATACATGAATAAAACATGAAAGAAAGGAATACGCTCAAGGTCAGGCAGTGCTCATTTTAAATCACGACAGCTTAACCACAAGCTCATATGGCTGAAAAACAATTCTGGGCTGATGGGTCTATATTAGGGACATAAGCTAAACATATAGTAGGCTACTTGTCTGAACTAGCCTCTGACTACCAGTATGAGGAATGGGTGTTGCATAAGCTCACTCACAGGCTGGCACGGCCCAACGGTGTTGTGGCAGATCTGGACGTTGCAATGGAGGAAGACGTTGGTGTAAGAGCCACCGACAAACTTGAACATTTGTATCCTGAACATGGCCTCTGGACCCTGGCCATTCTTCAGCACACTCAGGGTCTGTTCATTTGACAACACCGGGCAGCTATGGGAGGGAGAGAAAAAAGTCAGGGAGGCCGGGTTAGTTAGTGAGATTTAAAGCAAGAATGAAATACTGTACTTTAAAAATAGAGACCAATTTCAGCCCAAGTGATAAATTGCAAAGCTAAGAAATAATGTAAACAGTTTCTAAGTCATTCAACACAGCGAGAGACAGATTTGTTTGAGAATTTTCCTTTCCCTCTGGCACTGTGCATTTCATTGCTCTGCTGTTGCTAACAGTCCCAAATACCGACTGGTTGTCAAGGACATGCACAGCTGTTGAACTGAGACGCATATGGCCTCTCAGACGGGAGTCACATGACCAGGCTCTGAGAGCTGGCCAGCTCACTAAGCAACAAATTCTCTTATTTCAGATTTCAACAGCACCGTTTTAAGAGGACTAAGAGCTGTTTGCAAGTGTGGTGAAACAACACAACCACAGAGCTTGCCATAAGCAGTATCTTGTGCGAGTATGTAAATCTTAAACTATTGATTTTTCCCATTTTCAGCTGACAGATGGCAAATGGAAAACAATAGGCTTTGTCCAACCTATATCTTCACTATGATATGCATTTCTTTTTTGCTCATATTACTTAAAAAAAAACAGATTTACTGATTACAAACTGTTCTGGGGCAAACCTGTCTCTGATGAACGTGTACTGAATATTGCTGTACGGATCCCTGGTTGGTGTAGCCCAGCATCTCTCTATACGTAGCATCAGGTGCGCTGGTATCTACAGACAGACAGGGTTGGGTGGCAGTCAAGTCATTCTTTACACAGTACTATTCCATAATGAGCCACAAAATGATGATTCATAGTACATAAACAACAGCTGTACCAAGAGGTTATCACGATGTGGACGGGATGTAGAGCAGCACTCAAATTACTATCTGGTCACGGGTGGAGTGTTAGATTTCAAACATGGCTTAGCACATCCCGCTGCACAACATATTGCTTAACATCATGTAACAACGTGCTTAACCTATTCCAAAAATAGCTGTCAACAGTAAGAATACTTTAATTGCATACGCAGTTTTAGAACTTTACAAAGTGTTGTGATGTGCATACCTACATTGTACACAATCTCCAGATCAGTGTGAGGTATAGGTATAAAGGTCAGGTCTATAATATGTTTTATACTCTGTAATAAGAAGCATAGTAATGGACTTTGTCACTCAAGGCCATTTACCATGAAAACTTTCACAAAGATGTCATCCTCCAGTGTCAGTGATGGAACAGTGGTCCATCTGTCCTCAAAGGCTTCATCTTTGTACAGTAACATCGACACCGAAAAGTTCCCATCCTCTGTGTTCAGAGTGATGGTTCTGCAGAAAGAAGAGGACCAAAGGAGCCACATGTTAACGTTTAGTTTAGGTGCAACCATTGATTAAATGAAAAATAAACACTTACCTAACATCAACTCTAATCATGTTTTCACCATTGGGTTGTTGGACCATGTAGTTGATGGGGTAGCGGCATACAAATGTTATGTTGATGAAGTTTCTCGTTATAACATCTGAATCGTTGTTGTGTATAGTGTTTATGAACATGATGTGTGTATCATCTGAGGTCTAAGGAAAGAACAAGAAAGACAAAAATAAAAGGCAAAGAAAGTAAGAAACATTTTAATTGCTAAGTGCAATACATTTATTATTGTTCTTTTTTTGCCCATGGAAGAATAGATATGTTATGCATTATCTTTGTTTGTGTGAGAACCACTATAGCATGGAAGTGAAAGGGAGCTTGAAGAGAGCAGGTATCTCGTATCAAGAGGGTGTCTCTCCTTACACGTTTCATTTCATTTGGTCAGGCAGCTCAACAATTCTGGTGACACACTGACCCCGACCTTCACTCATCTACTTTGTGTTTATCTGAAAATCTGGATCCAAACATTACACAGCAATGTCTTTTCAAATTTTTGTTTCCTATAACAGTATGTTAACTAGGCAGTGAACCATGACAATACAAGGAACCTGTTCATGAGCACAGAAAATTAAGTTAATCAGCATTCCAGGATTGCAAGAAATTATTATTTCATTATTGATTAATCTGCAGATTGATGCTTTTTTTCATTTGATTTATAGAATGTGAAAAATCACAATATCCTAAAGTCCAAGAAGACATCTTCAAATTGCTTATTTTGTCTGACGAATAGTCCAAAACCCAAATATATTCAATTTGCTATTACATTAGACATAGATACATAGCAAATCCTCACATTTGAGAAGATAGGACTAGATAGGATGTTTAGCATGGTAATAGAGCAGTAATATTATCAGCTAATGGGGATCCACACTAACAAAATAGCTGCAGATTAACTTTCCCTTGATAGACTAAATAATTAATTTGACTAATGGTGTCTCTACAGCATTCACAGGCTAAAGAGACAGCTGATTGATCTGGTTAGCACTAATTACACTACTTTATTCACAGAATTAACAATTACTGTCATTAGCAAGTGATCTGTAAATTGTTTGCTTGATTTATCGATCAGTCCCACGACCCAAGGTGGCATCATTAAATGTCCAAAACCCAAATGTATTCAGTTTATTACAATGTAAGGCCAAGAAAAGCAGCAAATTCTCACATTTGCAAACCTGGAACCATCAAAAGTTTGACATTTCTGCCTGAAACATTTGTGACATAATAAATTGATTATCATCAACAAAACTGATTACTTGACTAATTGTTGCCGCTGTACTTGACATATAGTGCAAAAGTTAATAAAATTATTTCCATATGTCCCAGTATGCGATATTGTCCACACTTCAGGTCCCTTTGAGATTTCAATTTTTACCTGTTAGTAGGTAGTAGGGTTACAGATGTGAATGGGGTTAGAGGGTAAAATGATACATGCAGAGGTACAAAGCTGCAGAATTCATTCAGGAATCATTGAGGTTCCTTTAT